TTCTGCCAGGCACACGGAAACCGGAAGACTCTGATGAAAAAAGAACCGCACCTGGCGAAACGGAATCGAGGCATCCGTAATGAGGACAACAAACTCCCACTGCAAGAGGCTGTAGAGCACGTCGTGGACCGACGTGATACCAGGGTCTATGACCCGGACCCATATAAGGTCGGACGGTGGAAGCCCCCCAAGCAGGTAGAACGGGAGGCGCGAGAGGCACGAGTGGACAAAGAGAAGCGCGAGGCAGCGCCACAGGCTAGTTATATGCAATTTTGGGTTTCGCGACACCGTCGCGACGGTCGGCCAGTCGTTGGCCAACCGTTGGCCAACCGTTGGCCAACACATTGCAACAGTGTTGCAACACTGGGCGGCAGTGTCGCAACACTAAAAAGTACATTTTCGACATTCGATTTTCATACGTGGCCAATTCATAACCGCCTGCCGAGTCAAAATTTCAGACTATGAATCTAACATCGTAGACTTGGTATATTCGATAGCCGGACGGAAAACTCGAGGGCAGGCCTCGCGAGGCCCGACGACTTCACCACTGTGAAGCTTATTGTCGAAGCATATTGACACTGTTACCATTTAAAATTGCCCAATTGACACACTCTGCTTTAAGTTGCAGTATGTTACAGGCACCTAGGCCTGCTTAAGTCTCGAAGTAGGGAGTGTGTCTTCGAGCGGAAGTGAAACGCGGTGTAAAATCGTTTTTTGCCCCTATTTAGGGGCAAATCACTGAGCAAGTGTCGCAACAGTGTTGCGACACTTTTCGGAGTGTTGCGGAGTTGTTGGCCGACGGTCGGCCAACCGTTGGCCAACGGTTGCCCGGCGGTCGAGGGACCGTCGCGAACCTAGGGCACTACATTGACCATCCCGTTGTCAAAAAGCGCACTTTAACTGGGTACATTTCGGGGTCCCGAACTTTCCGCTGGCTGGGGCTGGCACCGTCCGATGAGTGCCACGTATAGGGACCGAGTCCAAGTCTGTCAGAATTGCACTTGTACACTGCGGCAGTACTTTCTCCGTCGAGTGTACTCGGAAAATTCAAGGTTACAAGAATTCACCGTCGG